ATTTTTCAAGTGATTATAACATATCAACCTGTATAATAAGCCACAAACTCGTTCTTTTATTTCCTGAAGATTGTTTAAACGATAATCGTTTTACTTAATTCACAATAATATGTATCCTGCTTATTTTTCTCGTAACCAAAATGCACATAAACAAGATGATTGGAAAAATGGTAGAAGGATTTCTATCCCCAATAGTGGGGTTGGTCAGCCTTCGTTGAATCAACGACATCCTTTACCTTATCATGATTATAATAATCATTTTATTTCTTCTCAATCACATCCCAGTTCACTGAATAATGGATATAGTGTGGATGAATCATATCAACAGAAACATTCTTCTCATCATATTCAATCACATTCAAATAAACCTTATTATAACCGACATGTATCTTCCCCTTCTTACAATAGGAGTTTTTCCTTGAATGCGGTACCAACAACATCTAATCAACTTAAAGCTCCTCATTCTTTTAACAATTATAAACAACAATCGGGTAATCCGAATATTATGGTTCAAACCAAAAAACGTCCATTATCTCCAATGCCACCCATCGAAACTATTTCCTCTAAAAATAGACAAAGGGCGTGTAATAATGTTGAATATAATATTAGTCCTTTTTCAGCGAACAAGAATAACAAGATGAAATCTAATGGATCCGAGAATAATATGGACCTTGCATATACGAACGTTGCTTCACCTCGATCAGCATTTACTCCTGTAATTAACAACCACATCAGTCAATCACAAGATGATCATTCTACAAACATTCGTAAATCTCCTCCTAATAATCGTTCAGCTAAAAGAGAAAAAGCTTTAAACGTTAAACCATGGCCTGAAACTATTTATAATATAGATTATATTAATACAAGGTTTAATACAAGTTCAAAGTATGAAAGTGAACCTTGGTTTAAATCTCCAAAAAATTTTCTTAATAATTTAATTAAAACTCCCGTTAGTTGGGAATCATTTGGTCCTGATGATAATAAATTACATCGTGCTACTTTGACCGTAGAGATTGGCGGTTCAATCATTGTTGGACATGGTGACGCAAAAACTAAAAAAGATGCTGAGAAAATAGCATACTTATATGTTTGCTTTCTTCTTGAATCAAAAGGTTTAATCTATAATATTCAAAAATGTTCTTCAACTACTGAAGATTCGAGGAAGCTTGTTATAGAATATTGTGCTAGATTTGATTATGTACCAAATTTTGAATTGATTGGTATTGGACCTGATCATAATAAATTATGGGAAGCCAGAGTGGAGTTACCTTCGCAAGGTATAATTGGTCGTGGTCGTGCTAAAACAAAAAAAGATGCTGAATTATTAGCTGCTGAAGATTTTAAAAAGTTTGTCGTTGAATGTTCTAAAAAAATTTCTGATGAATATCAAGAGTTACATGGTGAAACTCTCTCAAATTCCGAAAAAAATAATATGTCGGAAGATATTGCAAAAGATTTTATTAAATTTTATTGTAAATGCTTTAAATTTAAAAATCCTGGGTTTAATTATAAAAGTAAAGGTCCCGGACATAGTATGATGTGGGAAGCTTCATTGGTTGTTGAAGGTGTAACTATTGGTACTGGTCGAAGATCAAATAAGCGTGACGCACAGGCTGCCGCTTATTTAGATGCTGCCATTTCTTTACGTAAAGATTCTCCTGATCTTTGGGAAAATTTTGAAAACGATAAATTAAAATCAAAAGATATTACTTCTTCAAAACTTGCTCCTTATATTAATATTCCGATGAGTGATCAAACTTGCGAAACATTGAATAATTTGGTATCTGAATTACAACAAGCAGACATGTTCCATAGAAATGGTGTTATCGTAGACAAAAGGAAGCAAATGGAAAATTTTTCTGTAAATCGGATTAATAAGAAGGAAAATATTAATCAAGAACAATTAACGAATGGTCTTGAAACAAAATCTCTTCGACTTTACGAATCTCATCAAACTTATCTCAATTCTTCTCATACTAAAAAACTTCGTTCTAATCGTTCTCAACTTCCAATTAATTCTTATGCTAGTACAATTTTAGATGAAATTGAAAAAAGTCCTGTAATAATCATTGTTGGTTCAACAGGTTGTGGTAAGACAACACAATTACCTCAGTTAATATTAGAGGCAGCAATTAATAAACATCAAGGTGCTCATTGTAATATTGTTGTTACTCAACCAAGAAGGATTGCTGCTATATCTGTAGCACAAAGAGTTGCTTGTGAACGCTCCGAAAGACTTGGACTTTCGGTTGGGTATCAAGTTCGATTTGAAAGTGTGCTACCAGCTCCAGCTGGAAGTATCTTATATTGTACTACGGGTGTATTTCTTCGAAGAATGCATGAAGAAAATAACGGCAAAGATTCATTAGAAGGAGTTACTCATATTGTTATCGATGAAGTTCATGAAAGAGATATGAGTGTAGATTTTCTTTTGGTCATCTTAAAAAGAATCCTTACCGAAAGACATCGTAATAATCGTTCTTCAATTAAATTAATTTTAATGAGTGCTACAATTGATACAGGAATTTTCGCTGAATATTTTGGCGATCTCTTCGCTAATGGAAGATGTCCTGTTGTTGAAATTCCAGGAAATTCTTATTCTGTTCAACAATACTTTATTGAAGATATTGTATCAAAACTTGGAACTCTTTATAAACCATCTGAAACGCCTCAATTATATAATGAGGACACCTCAAGATATTTTGATCGCGAGAAGAAAATTTTCCAAAGAAAATCTCCACCTACAAGATTTATTTCACCAAAGAGCACGATACAAAGGAAATATCTTGTAATGGATATAGATAGTGATGAAGTTGATAGTCATAGCAGTGAAATCGATGACATCGATACATCATCTGTTGGTTCAACGTCAAGGTTTATTGATTGGACAGGTTCAAAACAAACAGAAGAGCAAGCTGATGCAGAAATTCCTTATGATTTAATTTCTTTGGTGATTGCTCACATTGTTAATACAACAAGGGAAGGAGCTATATTGGTTTTCTTACCTGGTTTGGAAGAAATTATGACTCTTAATCGACTTTTTACAATATCTCCTTATCCACTTGGTATTAATTTTTCTGATCAATCACTTTACCGCATTCACATGTTGCACTCATCACTACCATCTTTATCACAACAAGAAGTTTTTGAACCTTTATCAAATCCAAATATGAGAAAAATCATTCTCGCTACAAATATAGCGGAAACTTCTATAACCATTCAAGATGTGGTACATGTAGTTGATTCTGGTAAAGTTAAAGAGAGGAGATATGATCAATCAAAGCGAATGACAAACCTAGTTACCACATGGATAAGTCGATCAAATTCACGTCAACGCGCAGGTCGAGCAGGTCGAGTACGTGAAGGAGAATATTTCGTAATGATGTCACGCGATAGATATCAAAACCTAGAAGCTTACTCAACTCCTGAGATGTTGAGATCAGATTTACAAGAAATTTGCCTTCATATTAAAGCGCTTGACCTTCCAACTAAAATTGAAGACGTTCTTGCACAAGCTATCCAACCACCAGATTATGCAAGTGTTTCAGCTGCTTTAGAAAATTTAATATCACTACAAGCGTTAGATTCTGCAGAAAATTTGACTCCATTAGGAAAAGTTTTAGCCATCCTTCCTATGGAACCAGGTTTAAGTAAAATGGTACTTCTTGGAGCGATATTTCAATGCTTGGATCCAATTTTAACAATTGCAGCTTGTATATCATCAAAGAATCCATTTTTATCACCCCCACAAGCAAAAGAAAGAGTTGATGAAGCTAAAGTACGTTTGGCTCAAGGGTTATCCAGTGATCATCTTACCATACTGAACGCTTATAAAATTTGGCATGAATATCAATCATCAGGAAATATTCAAGCGGCAAATAAATTTTGTACCGATAATTTCCTGAATAGAACTAGTTTACAAACAATTGGACAAGTTAAAATTCAATTGTTGAATCTCTTAGAACGCTTAGGTATTGTACCAAAACATTACCCACAAAGAGATTATAATAATGATTCGAGAGGTTTTGCATTAGGTCCACCTGAATTTAATGTGAATTCAAATTGTATTCCTTTACTTCGATCATTAGTTTGTGCGGGAGTATATCCAAATATTTCATTAAAGACTTCAAAGAAAACTTATCGAACTCGACATGAAAATATCACATTTATTCATCCAGCATCAGTGAATTATAAAAGTAGAGCAATTAAATTAACGGCAGCTTTAAGAAATGATAATGGAAACACGAGGATCGAATCGGATGAAAATTTATTCGCACCTGAAGGAACTCTTTATGCTTACTCAACAAAGGTTAAGACAAGTGGACAGCAAGTTTATCTTCGTAATACCACAAGGATCAATCCATTTTCTGTAGTTTTATTTGGAGGTGAAATAAAACTTGGACAACAAAGTAGTAATAGTAGTAATGTTTTACTTACAATTGATGAGTGGCTACAATTCGGTGGTAATGATAAAGTAATTGAATTGGCCAGTAAATTAAAAAATTTCTTGGAAAATTGTTTAGCTCAAGTTTATGAACGATTGGATACTAGCGTTAATCATAACAATCCGGCTTCAACTCAAAATAATTTAGCAGGAAAATTAGATGAAAAGGATGAAAAGGTTAAAGATAGACTTATTAGTGGGATTGTTGAAGTCTTGGATAAATTAGATCGTAATTCAGTGGAAAAAATACATCATTGATGCGATTTCTTTATCAGTTGTTTTATATAGACATTATACGACGTTTTATATACATTATTTCATCCTTTTTTTTTTTATCATTATATAGATTTTTACAAGTTTCTTTGTCTCTCTCTTTTTTTAACAAATGCTTTCCTGTACTATACTTTTCTTTTTAGACATTATACTCATCATCATCAAAAGAGAAATTCTCTTATTTATTTAACTTATCATTTCTTTGATGTCAAATTTTATTTATAATAACGTACGTTCAAACCGGTTTGTAAATAATTTAATAATAATCATCTTGACTGTTTAATTAATTTAATTGTCTCAATAATTTGCCATAAATACTATTCATGCCTCCTTTACGTTTCCTTGCATAAGTAAATTGATTACGATATTTCCACAAACTGTAAATTTTAGCTATAGAAACTTTTGATCTACCCAGCTCTTTTGCAACTAAAGACCATCTGCGACCGTGCTTTTTAATTGATGTAAATAATTTAAATTGATCTTCTACTGTATAACAACCTTTTTTTAAAGAGGGATCAAGCTTATTAAGATATCTATTTCTGCATTGAATCGCAGTTCTACCAGGAATTCTTTTGGCGATTTGTTTCCAAATATCATTATCATAATCACTCAAGGAAAGGAACCTTTGTGCTTCTTGAGAAGATTGATATTCTTTGATAAATTTCAGTAAGAGTTCATCTTCTTGTAAACTCCATTTAGCAGGTTTGCATATAACGTTATAATAATGTTTATATAATTGTATAGGGGTTCTGTTTGGTAAATAATGTTGGTGAATATATTTCCAATTAAATTTATTACCTTTAAGTAAGGGAACTTCTTTTAACGCTTTTTCTAAGATTAAATGTTCATATTCTGAAAAATTTTTTTGTTTCGATTGTAAAGGTTTTAAAGTATCCCTCCATCTAACCATACATTGCTTCGGGGATCTTGTAATACTCGTTAATAAGGAGGAAGAACCATTTGAATTAATTGAATTAATTAAATTAATTGTTGATGAAATTTTCTCCCATTGATCTTGTTCACCAAATTGTTTTACGCCATCAGCAATAATTTGATCTTCTTGTTTTGTCCAAGGAAACTTTATTTGAATATTATGCCATTTATTTCTAACATCACTAGGGGTTCTATTAGAAAAATATTTTGAGGTAATCAATTTCCAATTATACATAACATTCTTACCACCACTATAAGTGAAAAGTAATTGATTTTCTATTGAAGCATCATTTAATAATAAATCCTTTAATCTTTCGATTTCTTCACTTGTCCAAGGTTTATTTTTGATAACAAATAATGATTCTTCCTTATTATTCTCTTTGATTTTTTTGCTAGTATGTAAAACTAAATTGTAATTAATTGGTAATAATTGTTGTTGTTCATTTGAAAACCTTTGCATGTTAATATAATATTGCTTTAATAATGAAATAGATTTTTTCTTCAAACGATTATTATCTTGCATTAATTGTAAGTTGTTATTTAGTTTATTTAATTTTTTCCAAAATGAATTTTGCTCTTTTGATGTTAATGATATTAATGATGATTGATTTGTTGAACAGATGAAGGAATAATCTATTAAATATTTTAGATTATTTCTATAACGATAATAACAATCTGATGATGACCGATTTGAAAATCCCTGTGATATGATTCCCCAATGTTTCCATCCATATCTTATTACCCTTCTCAATAAGATATTATCTTCTTCATAGCTCCATTGTTTATTATGTGCGATTATTTTGTGATGTGGAAGCCTTTTAGGTGGTAAATTCTGAGAAGGTAAAGGTGAAGATGATTTCACGTTGACAATTTTTGTGGTGATATTGCTTTTTATGGTACTATTGAAATTTTTGGAAAATATTGAGTTCACTCGATGTTGTGCAGGAACCCACTTGGTCTTACGAAATGGCAACATTTTTAACATCAAATCATCATTTTTTCCCCCTTTTTGATAAACGTAGGGATGCGATCATATGACCGATCTAAGCCAAAGCGATCGACTCATTTGACGAGGACACGTGATTATGCAAATAACTTCGACCCAAGGTTTTGAAGCATTTTCAACGGTTCATTGACAAAATTTTGATATAATTCGCTAAAAATGAAAGTATGTTTTTTTTTCTTTTATTAATCTTTTACTAACTAAGTATTACA